TTCTTTTCAACTAAAGATTATTGTCAATAGCATTATTATGTCTGTGTTTGTTAGTTTATGACTAGGAGTAGGTTGAAATTGCATGTCCGATATCTTTCAATTTATTCTCATGAACTTTAAAGACTGGATGGACCAACCGAGTTCAAGGAAAAGTTCAACTGAATCGTTTTCTCGACTTGTTGGATATGTATTAAAACATAATCTTCAGCTGTTGAAAGAGTAAATAGCTGTCTCTGGAATTGTCGTTTAAATTATGACGAAACTACATGTAATCCAAATACCTGCAAACTAGAAATGTGTCCATAGGACACGGATGCCCCCACACGCCACTGTTCTGTCAATGTAAAATATTTTTGGACTACATGTGCCACAAGTTGAAAACTAAAACTCAACAAAGGGCCATAATTCTGTTAAATTTGGTCGCAGCAAAAATTCCTTCCTTTACTACCATCTACACATTAAGGTTGTTCATCCCTGTAAGTTTAAGCAAAATCTGCAATCCGGTTTAAGAGGAGTTGCGTTCACAAATTTCTACATAGTATCTAGTGAAAAAATCAACAAAGGGCCAAAAGTCTGTTAAATTTGGTCGCAGCAAAAATTCTTTCCTTTACTACCATCTACACATTAAGGTTGTTCATCCCTGTAAGTTTAAGCAAAATCTGCCATCCGGTTTAAGAGGAGTTGCGTTCACAAGACTTCAGGACGTACGGACGGATGGACTGACGGACGGACTGACTGACGGACGGACGGACAAGTGCAACGCTATATGCTCCCACATTGTGGGGGCATAAAAAGTAATATGTTTGTTTCTTTCCAAGAGAGCGAATGGCGCATGACCAGAATCATAACTAAATTGTATAAAACCCTTTTGAAAATATAGACAGGACTGATTTTGAGAATTTGGCTCCCTATAAGATGCTAGAGGCATTTTGTAGTACAAGTGGTATCTTGGTGTATTTTACCTATTTAAGGTTTGCTGAATCCGATAAAGGTGGATACCAAATTGAAAAACTTTATCTTGACCATTGAAATGGCCATTTAAAATGACCACTAAAATGGCCGCCAAATTTCTTTATCATAAATGGATGATATAGCAAATAAAATTTGTCAAAAAGCATGTTCAGGTAAAAACAAATTAGACATCAAAACAGAATTAAAACAAAACAATCCAATATTGCCGAAAAATCCAAGATGGTGGACATTTTTTATAGGCCAATATTAGTAATATAGATACTGGAAATTTTCTTCTCTGCCCTATCTGCTTTCATGTATTTTATCTGGCACACTATGCAAGCATATAGAGTGGCTACTCAGATTCCTATTAAAGGCACCTTTCTCTGATTACTGTTGGGTGTTGGTGTTCGTTTTCTTGTTATCGGTCGTCGGTCGTCGTCTTCGTTCTTCTGTTATCGGTCCTCGTCGCAGTTTTCTTGTTGTGAGTTCTTCTGTTATTGGGCCTCGTCGCAGTTTTCTTGTTGTGAGTTCTGCTCTAAGTTCTTTTGTTGTCAGATGTTCTGTTGTCGGTCCTCGTTTCTGTTGTCTTGTTGTCAGTTCTTCTGTTATCATGTTGTCAGTTCTCGGTCCCTGTCTTGTTCTGTTATCTGTTCTCGTCTTCGTTCTTCTCCGTTCTTCTGTCATCGGTTCTCGTCTTTTTTCTTCTGTAATCAGTCCTGGACTCCGTTTTCTTGTTGTAAATTCTTCTGTCATCGGTTCCCGTCTCTGTTAGTCTGTTATCGGTCCTTGTTTCTATTTGTCTGTTATCCATCCTCGTCTCCGTTCTACCTGTTTTACTGTTAGAGGTCCTTGTGTCTGTTCGCTTGTTGTCAGTTCTTCTGTTATCGGTCCCTGTGTCTGTTGTCAGTTCTTCTGTTATCGGTCTCTGTGTCAGTTCGCTTGTTTCAGTTCTTCTGTTATCGTTCCCTGTCTCTGTGCGCTTGTTGTCAGTTCTTCTGTTATCGGTCCCTGTCCTGTTCTTCTGTTAGCGGTCCTCGTCTCTGTTCGCTTGTCGTCAGTTTTTCTGTTATCGGTCTCTGTTTCGGTCCTTCTGTTAGCGGTCCTCGTCTCTGTTCGCTTGTTGTCAGTTCTTGTCTCCGTTCTTCCTTCTGTTATCGGTCGTCGTCTTCAGTCTTATACTTTCGGTACTTGTTTCCTGATCCGTTAAGGTCTTCTCTTGTATCTATCGTTCACGTCATTCTGTGTCGGTGTTTTGGTTTTGTCAGTCTTGTAGTCATTTATTCGTTCAGTGGAGTAGCGGGGGATCGAACTCACGACCCCTTGATTTGAAGGCAGACAGTGTTACCACTGTACCATAGCGCCCGCTCTGAATAATAACCATTTTTGAAAGCCCTTTATACATTAAATACTATTTCAATGGCTAACAAAGGGTGTATTACAATTATATTTTAACACCTCTACTATGTAGCCAACCCACGTGACTTTTATATATGGTCAATGAAAATATTACTCGATTTATTACAAGTAATATTTTTATAGATAACTTTGCTGTTACTTTAAGATATCCTGGAAATTTATTGGAGGGTACCCGGAATTCTAATGTAAATCAAATGGTGTGATAATCTTCTTGTAGAATTTTCCCAAAACCGTGACTGAATTCCAAAATTGTCGAGAGCTACCACATTAAAGCAAGCACACGTAGCAATCTCCCGGTTTCAGACATTTTATGACTTGATGAAAATATGGTGTTGTTATTGTTGTTGTTGATGTTGTTGTTTTTGACTTTAACTTTAAATTTCAAATTAAATCGCCACTTATTTTTAAACAAGATGGTAAACATCTGTTGTTTTTAGTATTTTTGTTAAGATTGTGATCAAGTATACACTTCTAAGTTTAAGATGACTTTTTAATATTATCGATTATCCACCGTATACCTTAATGCAGTTATTATTGAATAAAAAAATGAATTATGCAGATATTATTTTCGGCAGAAAACAGCAAATACAAACAAAACAACACACAAAAAAACTTACATGCAGCATACATGTGTAATGTTCACAATGTGCTGAAGAACGGCTCTTTATTAATTTCAACATTTCAGCAAGTGACACATTTTAATAAAAGAATGGGACAGAAATGTTGTTGTAACCATTTAAAAAGTAGGATTTGTAAATTTGTAAGTTGGATATTTTTTACCTAGTTTGCTCAACACTCAATTAATACATTTTTATATGTAAACCTGAGGTACAGAAAAGAGACAGAAAACAACTTTCATAGATTGAGATACAGCCATAATGTCGTAGATATTTGGGTTACAAAAGGAGTTTTTGATCCTGATAATGTTTTAAGTAGAATAAACATAATACAAGCTTATATTCTTAAAATTTTGTACTGCCTTAATTCAATTTTTTTTAAAATACGTGCAATTATGTAATTATTATGTTTTAGTAAAGGCTTCACAAAGGTGCTATCTATATATGTCATCTATGCAAATGTCATCAAGAGATGTTTTGCATGTGGAAGACATGTATTTTTCAGATTGTAAAAAACTAAAAATGAAACAAAAAAATTAAGAGACGATATTTGCTAATTGGTAATTTGGATGTATAAAAGTAAGTTTTCTTCTTTTTATTACTTTTGACATTTAAGTTATTTATCAATTTCAGCTTTGCTTTTCTCTAAACAGCCTCACATTGTCAGAATTGTCAGCAAAAATAAAATTGAGGTACTACATGGGGAAAATCTTAAGAAAGTAGTTTCGTCATTGAAAAGTATCAAATATAATTTTCACGGATAAATCAGTAATCCACTGAAATGCATAAAATAAAAACTATAAAACTAATGTTAGTGAAAGTCATATCTGCTAAAAATGTAAACGCTATCGTTACTTGGGCAGTAGCACAGCCGGTTAAGTGATTGACTGATGTGTGAGAGGTCTATGGTTCGATTCCTACTGTTGCCTCTTTTTAAGACCTACCGTTTTTTGTTGTTTTTTTTTGTTGTTTTTGCAGTTTATATTTTAAAACATTTTTTTTCTCGGATTGTGTTGTATTTATGGCATTGAAATCACATTTTTTGACATGAAAATGATTTTTTTATATTAATTTTAAACCATAAATACCATAATAAGTGCAAAATATATGAAAACAAAATGAACAACTTAAAAAAATCATAGCTACAAATAATGTTGAGAATTACGGAACATCATCTGAAGTGACATTTTCCACACTTTCTCCCGGAATTGAATTCGTTTTTACGAGATAATAATTCCCAATTAGAAATATTATTTCGTTTTAACGAAATATAAAATCTAAATAACTAGTAAAACAGTACTGTATATAACTGTTAATTGAGCCATTAGGCTTATAATCGTTATATTTGGTGGCCAATCTCATTAAATCTGATTATTATATTGAATAATCATTTGATTTTGACAAGAATAATTAATTGCATCATATTGTATCTTAGTTTTAATGACCTATTTTAGTATTTTTAAGCGGCCATATTGAATTGACATTTTGAAGGTCAAGGTCAATTGTATTTTCTTGGTATCCACCCTCATCGTCTTCAGCATACCCATATTAGGTCAAAACACTCAAGATATTACTTGTACTATAAAATTTTCTTCTGGAACATTTAATAACGTTTACATACAATTTCCATGTATGTTATAATTCCTGTGAATGGTAAACTTAGTATTATGACTAATTAAAGACGACAATGAATATCAACATTTCCTTTATTATTACTTTGTCGGTTCGGTGTTAAACATTTTTTACATGCGATATATTAAATGAATTAAAATGAAAATTAACAAATTGCTGATCTGTTTTCAAATATAATATCCAATCAAGCGCATGAAAAGAAATATTCTACATTCATTACATTCATTACTTTTTACTGTTCATTTTTTTTACTGTTTCCAAAAAAATCAACAATTTGTTTTTTAAGGCTATATGAGCAATACGTGAGAAGACCTGGATCAATGATTTACATTTAGATGATTTTCATAGAGTGGTTAACGTGTTATGTACAACGTTTTGCTAGGATCAATGCTTTATGTGGGTCGGTATGGTTTTGGTGTTGGTTTGACAGGTACATTGGCATCAAAGTGGTCCCAAGTGTTGATTAGACCATACAATGAATCTCCTGGACATTCTGTGTTACGAACATCACGATGACCGTACATTTTATAATCTGATGTTATTTTGCCGAGCTGTATGCCACATTCAATCATCGCTTTGACGGCGTGCAATGCAGCATCGTTTGGAAGTTTGTTAGAGTAGTCTCCCATGATGGAGAATGCGATTGCTACGTCATTCCAGCCATAAGTGTGTGCTCCAATTCTGTCCCAGGCTCTCCCCTCATATGCCTTACCATCTTCGCCAATAAGGAAGTTGTATCCAATATCATCCCAACCTAGAGGATACAATATATGAATGAATCCATGTGTCTTTATATATGTTATATTGCGATGATAAATAATGAAAGCAAAATACTTCAAAAATAAAAGATGTCTTTATCACAAAAGAAAAGACATATGAATTTAGAAAAGTTTATTGAAATATCCTCATATATGATAACGTTTACCTCTTGTATCCATGTGGAAATTTTGTATGGTTCTCATTTCTTGGGCACAATCATCTTTTGTGAAACATTCGCTCATGGATGTGTGATGGATGAAGACAACCGTGACTGGTGTCCCCATGTAATTGATTGCTTTAGATGGCCTTGCATCCCAGGCATTGCGTGAAACTATGGTGACGTTATCGCAATGTGGCAGAGGTAGAGCATCTACTGAATCTAAAAAAAAACATTTGTAACAAAAACATTTCAAAGAAATTGTAATAATTATTCCATAAATACGAATACGTAATTGCTGTATGCTATTTATTTCAGTCTTTTTTCTGTACTTTTTATGTTCTACAGATATGATTATACGTATTTATAAGATGTGTACAGTTAAACCAATAACTAGACTTTGTTCTTATTACCAATTGATCACTTTCTGCTTTGAACTATACATTTTTATATCACTGTCACTGCACTGTCTTTATCTATGCAAAATCAGTTTTAATGTCCGCCCGATTAGCATAGGAACAGCATTTGTAATCGTGGGGTCACACCGTTTCAACAAGAAGTCAAGATGTTTGACATTTCTAACTAAATGTCTAATTGTCATTAATATTAACTTCTTCCTTTGACAGAAGAACGTCCGTCTTGTTGATTTCATTGAATGATCTTAAAGGTTTCACAGAATACATATAAGATTTATTAATAAAAAGATTAAGATTGGTCTCTAAAGTATGTTTTTTTATATATAATGTGAAGTTTTGTATCTTATTTCTATGAAACTATTTACAGTATACAATCATTTATAATCCATATGAGTAACGCATGATCAACACCACACTTGTGTAATTGTCCCTTATTATGTTATCGCTATTAGCGAAGACCCCCTCTTAAGGTATCTGTTCACACTTAATAACAATATGACACTTGTTATATTACCATGTTGATCATGTTGAGCATAAATGTTTATTATACACTAATTGTAATATCTTTTTTTAATAAAAAATACAGATTTTATGAATATTGTTTTCTTTTCTTTTTAGTGTTTGATGCACTATTTTAATACTGAGTTTTACTACTCTTTTTTTTTATTAAAATTGTAAAATAAATTTTAAGAATTCAATTGTCATAATGACCGACGATTATAGGTCAAAACTTAACTGGAAAAAGTCAGTAAAATCTTGTCAATCTTTCAATATATAATATTGTTTATTCTTAAACCATATACATGTACATTTGTATTTTTCTTTATAATTTTTTAAATTATCAATCAATTGAATAATTCATAAAATCTGATTTGTAGCTTTGAATAATTCCTCGGCATCTTTACTAAACACGAAAAACAAATTAAATAAAATGTTTCAAAGTTGATAGTGTCATATTAATGCCATAAAAATGTACATTTTTCTCACTTATTGTAAATATTTATTGTTTTTATCTCATATAGATAAAATAAAACATGCGATTTGTGTTTTTTTTTTCTTCCGAATTGTACGTTTATGCATAATAATAATCAATAAATTTGAGAGTTGATCTGTGTTTATTAATAATTGTAACCAAACTAAGTGACAAACATTCATTTTGAAAAAAAGTTTATTTATCTGTAAAATATTTGTTCTGTTCTGTAACGATATCAAACATCTACTCCAAACCCGGGAGATACCGGACAATAAACGTGTGGTACTATTCGCCGGTCGTCAAAATAGACCAGGAGAGACCGGGAATTACCTACAGGAGTACATCCCTCTATAAATAGATTTTCGGAATATTTAGGTCACCAACTCATCATTCTATTTACGGCTTTCGGAATAACATACCATAATAACCGACTGTGTACTACAAAATGATAAATAAAAATATCCCGAAGAGCGCGATTTATTGACGGAAAAGGTTATTTAATTTGAAAATGTTTGCATTGCGAAATTCTCCAGTTCGCTATTCATTGTACATATCGCGACTAGCACCCTCATACCGATCGGAATGATCGGCTTTTATTATGAACAACTATAAAAGGCTCGAGAAGTTGCTGTCGCCCTTTCACAAAATCTAATTTCATTACATAAAAGGCGCGCGCTTCGGCGCGGACGCCAACAAATGATGTTACAAAAGTATAACATCGTAAAGCATACGTCCGTGACAAATATAATGTTAATGAAAACGCCGGTATTATCCTGAAAATTCTAGTTATTTTCGGTAGCATTATCGTGGTATAAATAGATGGAGGAGATAATTACATAACAATGCTGGTAAGTGGCAGCTTTAATTACGCTGATAAAAAGTCCAACTTAACTTAAAGTTCATTTTTGTGTTTCTAAATATGTAAACCAATATTTTTGAAGAATCTTTACCCAATGAACTATTTGTTAGAGATAACGCCAATTTTATCACGTTTAAGGCACGTGCACATCAACAAAATGTATTACACAAAATGTATTGCACGAAGGGACCCTTAAGGTTTTCTTCATCCAGTAAAGTTGGAAAGTCACCGTATTACATTAACAGTGTCTGTGTAAGAAGGATGTCTGTGTGTGCGTATCTATAATATGGAATCAAAAGCGGAAATCATTTTCTCTATATGTTTGTCTTGATTTTTGGAAAGATAGAGTATCAAAAAAAGTCAAAGACAATGTACATATCAATTTTCTTTGTTACAATAATTGTATTTTCTTTGTTACTATAATTGTATTAGTTTATTATCATTTTTTTAGATCCAGTTTATCTAAGATATATAGTTAAAGCATGAACAAGATAAAGTATCAAGAATTTTATCTGTTGGAGAACATTAATATTGTAAAATATCTACTCACAAATGCTTAAAAAGATTTTTATATACACTCACACATTACTGTTTCAAAGAACGATTTATTTCAACAAGAAGTTTTAACGCTACATGTGTATTACATGGTAGAAATTGAGTTTAAACTGTGTGGTTTTCAAACAATTTTTTGTGTTTAATTCTAAACTTGCTTAATTGATATGATTGCTCCAATTATTTAATTGGGTCTGTAAGGTTTTGGTGTAGGTTTGATAGGGACATTAGCATCATAGTGATCCCAAGTGTTGATTAGACTATACAATGAATTTCCAGGACATTCTGTGTGACCAACATCACGATGACCGTACATTTTGTAATCTGGTGTTATTTTGCCGAGCTGTATGCCACATTCAATCATTGCTTTGACGGCATGCAATGCAGCATCGTTTGGAAGTTTGTTAGAGTAGTCTCCCATGATGGAGAATGCGATTGCTACGTCATTCCAGCCATAAGTGTGTGCTCCAATTCTGTCCCAGGCTCTACCCTCATATGCTTTACCGTCCTCGCCAATAAGGAAGTTGTATCCAATATCATCCCAACCTAAAGTTAATAAAGTATGTTCTTATTTATGTGTCTTTATACAGAAATGATAGTTTTAGACAGTAAAACACTAACAAAAGCAAAACACTTTATAAAGTAATAGAATTCTTTCTGTCACATATTTAGTCTTCGACTAAGTGTATGAAATGCATACTGTACCCAAAATTTCTCGTTTTCATTTTCGAGTCCAGATATCTTTATCAAAATACATATGAGCCGTGTCATGACAAAACCAACATAATGAGTTTGCGACCAGCATGGATCCAAATCAGCCTGCGCATCTGCGCAGTCTGATCAGGATCCATGCTATTCCCTATCAGTTTCTCTACTTGTAATAGGGTTTGTAAGCGAACAGCATGGATCCTGATCAGACTGGGCGGATGCGCAGGCTGGTCTGGATCCATGCTGGTCGCAAACCCATTATGTTGGTTTTGTCATGACGCGGCTCATATGATGGCATATCGTACTCAATATAGCCTCATTTTCGTTTTCATGCCAAAGATTTTTGTCATTGAAATAACAACGTTAAACAATAAAGAAGTGATCTAAAGAGGTCATTATACATTGTTTAGAGCAAAACTGCTTCTATTTGACACAGTACTTGTACAAATGAATTCAAATCGTCGGTCTAGAAAACAACCATGTCTCGCGGAAATCCCACGATCATATTGATTGGGATAGGGATTTGGGCTTTATAATGTGTAGGAAGACCCTCCAGATATGTGCAAAATCGAATTAGTAATAGAATCGCACAAGTGGTATTTAAAAGGTTGGCTTGCCTGAGAAAATGATGTTTTTTACGATCATTTACATACACAAAGAACAAATTGAGGGACCAAAAAACGATGATGCCACAAGGACATCTCACGTACATATTGATTGGGTTATGGATTTGGGCTTATTAATGTGTAAGGAAGACCCTCCAAACATGTACAAAATTGAATTTGCAAAGGAATCGGCGAAGTGATATTTAAACGATTAGCCCTAAAAATGGTGCTTTTTACGATCATTTTTATTCACAAAGAACAAATTTTATGGTCCGGAAAACGACAATGTCACGCGGAAATCTCAAGGACATATTAATTGGGTTAGGGATTTGAGCTTATTAATGTGTAAGTTCGTCCCTTCAAACATATACAAAATCGAATTTGGAAAGGAATCGGACAAGTTTTGTTTTAACGGTTGGCTTGAGAAAATGGTGCTTTTTATACACAAAGAACAAATCGACGATCCAGAAAACGACTATGCCACGCGGAAATCTCACGTACATATCAATTAGGTTAAGGCTTTGAGCTTAACAATGTGTCAGAAAACCCTCAAAACATGTACAAAATCCAATGTACAAAGGAATCGGATATGTGCTGTTTAAACGGTTGGCTTCGAAATATCATTTATATGCACAAAGAACAAAACGAGGGTCCTGAAAACGACCATGCCACGCGGAAATCTCACGAACATACTGATTGGGTTAGGGCTTTGGGTTTATTACTGTGTAAGGAAGACCAACTAAACATGTATAAAATCGAATTTGCAAAACAATCAGACAAGTGGTGTTAAAACGGTTGACTTGAGAAAAAATGATTTTTACGATATTTTTTTATTCACAAAGAACAAATCGACGGTCCAGAAAACGACCATGCCACGCGGAAATCGCACGAACATATTGATTGGGTTAGAGCTTTGGGCATTATAATGTGTAAGGAAGACCTTCCAAACATGCACAAAATCGAATTTACAAAGGAATCTGAAAAGTGGTGTTTAAACGGTTGGCCCGTGTAAAGTGGTGGTTTATACGATCATTTATATATACAAAGAACAAATCAAGGGTCAAGAAAACGACCATCCCACGCAATAAACTCACGAACATACTGATTGAGTAAGGGTTTTTGGCATATTAATGTGTAAGGAAGACCTTTCAAACATGTACTTAATCAAATTTGCAAAGAAATCGTACAAGTTGTGTTTAAACTATTGGCTTGAGGAGAGGGTGCTTTTAACGATCATTTTTATACACACAGAACAAATCGACATTCCAGAACACGACCATGCCACGCGGAAATCCCACGGACATATTGATTAGGTAAGGGCTTTTGGCTTCATGATGTCTTAGTAAGATCCTCCAGACATGTACAAAATCGAATTTGAAAAGGCATCAGACAAGTGGTGTTTAAACGGTTGGCTCGTGTAAAATTGTACTTTTTACAATCATTTGTATACACAAAGAACAACACGAAGATCCAGAAAACGACCATGCCCCACGGAAATTTCACGGACATATTTATTGTGCTAGGGCTTTGGATTTATTAATGTGTAAGGCAGACCCTTCAAACATGTACAAAATCGAATTTGCAATGACATCGGAAAAATGCTGTTTAAACGGTTTGCTTTAGAAAAGGGTTCTTTTTACGATCATTTATATACACAAAGAACAAATTGACGGCCCAGTAAACAACCATGCCACGCGGAAATCACACGGACACATGTATTGGGTAAGAGCTTTGGACTTAAATTATGTGTAAGGAAGCGCCTCGAAATATGTACAAAATCGAATATGCAAAGAGATCTGACAAGTGGTGTTTAAACGGTTGGCTCGAGAATATGGTGTTTTAACGATCATTTATATACACAAAGAACAAATCGACGATCAAGAAAACGACCATGTCATGGGAAATCCTATGAACAAATTAATTGGGTTAGCGCTGTGGACTTGATTATCAATCGAATTTTCAAAGGAATTGGACAAGTGGTGTTTAAAAGGTTCTCTCGAGAAAATTGTGGGGATTTTTTACGAAATTTTTGAAAATTTATACGCTTTATATGCAGAAAGAACAAATTGGCCGGCCCAGAAAACGACCATGCCACGCGGGAATCTCCCTGACATATTAATTGGATTTCAGCTTTGGGCTTTATAATTTGAAAAGAAAAACCCTCAAACTTGTACAAAATCGAATCTGCAAAAGAGTAAGATGGTGTTAAAACGTTTGGTTCGAGAAAATGGTGCTTTTTACACAAAGAACAAATCGACATTTCAAAAAACGACCATGCCAGAGAAAATCACATGGACATATTGATTGGTTTAGGGCCTTGGTTGTAAAATGTGTAAAGAAAAACCCTCCAAATATGTACAAAATTTTATTGTGCTCAAACAATGTAAAATCACCTCTTATGACTTTACCAAGGCTTGCTTGAATGATATTCCATATTGCGCCACCATTTCAGTTGTCTTCTTTATGGTGGTTTTTGAAAGTTGAAAACGGGATTTTTTTTTAAACTTTAAACCATGGCCCAATATTTACCATTGGGATATTAATTTGAATATTCTTCTCATTGATAAAACCTAAAGTTTTAACTAGTAATGCATGCAAAGTAAAGGCAAAAGAAAAGTTTACGACTAAAGGGACAAAAACGGCTAAAGTTACGGTTAAAGGAAAAAGTATTTATATTCAAAGTTACAAACTTTTGTTAAAAAAACAAAACATTTTAAAGGTTTTTCTTGAAGTGATGACCTGAATCATTATAGGAGGCTGTTATCATTTAAATTTAACAAAATGGGTGTTCGAAAAATTGCATTCATTTTAAACCTTTCTTTCTAAAATTAATGACACGTATGTTAAAACGGTCTTTGGGGCTACGGCAGGCCCGATAATTGATATCTTTTATAAGTATATCACTATATTAACTTTTGGCAAGGAAACAGCCCATTGCACCTTGTCAAAAAACTATTGAAGTCTGTGAAACATTTTTACCTCTTGTAACCATTGGAGATTTTGTATGGTTTCTCATTTCGTGGGCACATTCAATCTTGTTGGGAAAAACATTCGCCTCATTGCAGTATATGAATGAAAGGACAAAACTTGTCCACTGGTTGTCCCCCATGTTAATTGATTGCTTTAGATGGCCTTTTCCCCAGGCAATTTACGTTGAAAAACTATTTTGACGTTTCACAAGTGGCAGACGGTAAGCATCTAAATGAATTTCTGTAGAGAGAAAACGTAAACATAACAAATTAGTTATAACCTTTTTGTGAATCAGGATTTCAGCAAATGATTTTTTTTTCAATAATTATGATAAAGAAAAAACAATTTTCATTTCTAAGGCTAAATGTGGTTTTAATTATATAAAGGTTTGCCGGGCATTTAAAGTTATGTTAGGTTTTCATATAAAAAATCATAAACTAGTTACAACTTGATAAAATTTTGTTGTATTTGAAGGACATTTCTATGTTTTTTTTGCTGGATTTATTTTAAATTTGACGTTTAAAAATAATTCTTTGGTTTTTTTTTCTTTTTTTATTTTTTTAATGGTCTTTTTAAAAATATTTTAAGGAAAAAAATTTAAGGTTTGGTTGGGCAGGTTTATATGATTTTACCACAAAAAATTTATGGGTTTTTCATTATGACATCTGACAAAAGCTCCCCACTTGGTATTTCTTTAATCAAAACATGATTGTTTTTAAAAGATATCAGCCAATAGCAAAAAACCAAAACAACAAGAAAAGATTTTGCAACTTACAAAAATAAAACGCCAGAAGTAAAATTAAAACTTCATATTTTTTCCCTCCTTTAAATTACAGGGTGCTTAAAATAAACATTTCGATTTAAACGGTAAGTGTTTTCCTTTTTACCCAAAAGATTTATTATTCAAAATGAACTTCAATACTATCAGAATGTATGTTTATAACTGATACTCTAATCTCAACCTCATTTCCACCGTTATCTAGATACACGAAGTTTTAGAACGTTTAAAGGCATGCTGAATAATTGGGTTAAACTTTTTAATTACATGCTTTTCGTTGGCTTAAAGAAAATATATCAGTGAAATATAAAACTGATATTTCACTGTTTGAAAGAGTGAAAATATCGATTTGATATTTTTCAATGTTTTGAATTTTCAGGGCCAGTTACGTTGTTTCAGTATATACCGGCGTGCACTTACTGGGAACCCAATTTTACGTCGTAAATGACGTTCACGTTGTATTATTATTAGCGAGCTTTTCAATTTAGTTTAGGTCAAAAATGTCTT